TTAAAAAAGTTTTTAATTTTTTTACAATTAAAATATTTTTTTTTAAACTTTTTTTATTATTATTATAAAATATTCTTGAAACCATTCAACTTTCACTCAAAACATTTTTTATATCTTTGCCGGTTTAGACGATATTCACTTAGAAAGAAAAATTTCTTGAAGGAAGAATTTTATTCCTTAATGCGCAAAAAAAGCACTTATAAAAAAATATGTATAAAAAAATATGAATATATCTTACTTTCGTTTATATTTTAATACATTTAAAGCTTATTAAAATTGGAGGGGAATATTCGATTATATTCCCTTTGTTAGGATTTTCTTTTAATTTTCTATACTTTAAGTAATTAAATCATTCAAGTGACTTTTAAACATATTTATAACTTGTACGCGATATAATATGTTATTATTACGCTTATATATCATTTAAGTAGACAATAACATTAACGATAATATTTAAGTATGTTTAGCACGACGATTCGCGTATCATTGAGATAGTCATATACGCCTAAACAAAAAATTTTAGGAAGAGATATATTCTTATAGAGACTTTTTTTTCAAAAACCCAATTATCAGAGCAAATTATTAAAATTATTAAACAGATTAATGTAGCAAATTCTTCATATAACAAAATTCCAACAACAGAAAAATTTCAAGTAACATTATTTAACTAAGAATTCAGGGATAAAATGATTAGACGACTAAGATCATACCTTCCATAAAATTTTCATTAATGGAAATACAAATGCAAATTATGAAAGAATGACAATGAATAATGCCGTTTGCATATTTGCATATATATCTTTTTGTGACATGTTATAAATTTGTATATAATAATTGCACGGAGCAACATTATTATAATTTCCGGTCGTTCCATTTAATAAAGAATGCTTGCTCTCGAATTCGATAATGATCAGTGCGTAGACGCAATGTTGAACAATAAATCGAAGCACCGAGATGTCATAAAGTTATTCACCGTACAATAAATTATCACACGTACGGAGACATGTAATCATGAAGGTTTGATTAACAAGAAAGAACGCCGACCGTGTCCATTTTCATATGTGTAAATAACGATCGTAATAATTATAATAAAAAAATCAATAACGAATAATGTCTTGATATATTCCTCATGTTTCAAATTATTCATCTATTTTATTTTTGTTTTTTCTATCTATCGAAACACATCAATTTTTTTTAAACATTTGAAGTTGTCTTGAAAGGAGGAACACACAATCGTCTTAATTGCTCTTGTGGAAATGCAATTATTTATCCACTGTCTCTTCGGTTTCTGGTTTCGTGTACAAGATTTCAGCATATTCCGTTTTATCCTCATTAATTCGGCGAGGTGTGACACCTTGTTGTTGTTGCGTAAGATCCAACTCTGCGTATACTATTCCACCTTCGCCTGTCGGAGGATTCGTTCTGCCTTCCTGCACGGCCGGCTCAACGGTCTGAAGCTATATCATAGTTTTTCAGATATAAAATATGATAAAAAATATGATAGACAATCACAAAAGAAGCAAGACTCTTAATGATATATAGTACATTTACATTTAAATATTATTTTATAAAAAAAATTAAATAGATCCAGTAAAAAGCAATTTTTATATATTCATGCGGAAAATTAATATGACTAAATATTATGTACATAAAGGTATAATTTAGGATGTTTTGTATAGTGGTGGACAGAATAGTTTCAATACTTTTTCTTTCGATGAATTCCAGAATGTAGTCCGCTCACCGAACGATTGATTCTTATTTTCGGATCTATCAATCATGGTGGAAGTATAAAAGGTATGTTCGTTTCTGAAACGAATTTTGTTCTGCGCATAACCAGATGCGATCATTTTAAACATTTACATCGCAGTGATTTTAAAGTGACAAAGTTGCGGATATGAGTACGTGTCAAGTAAAAACGTGTACAAATAATTTCTTTAAAAAAAAAAAATGCAGAAATTTTTTTCGATTTCTAAAGGAAAGAACTCAAAATAATATCATAATGACTAATTTCAAATAACGTGACGGCTTCTGGATGTCGCTCTTCTGTTCAAAATACACAAGAGCACACCTTTTATACTTCCATCATGGATTTAATAACGTTTATGTTCAACCGTTCTACAAGCAAGGATATGAAGTTCCGAAATTCATCAGAAAAAGTGTTGCAACCATTCTGTCCATTACTGTACAGCTAAAACGTTCAAAATTTATATTTTTATGTAAATATAATGTTTAATCATTTTAATTTTTTTGCTTGAGTATAAAGAAGTTACTTATTACAGGATTAATTTATATAGTTATTTATTACAGGATTATCTATTTAATTTTTCTACAGAATTCTGTTTATCACTATATTAGCTAAATATCAGCTAAAAACATTTTTTTTATTTTATTTTATTTGCGTATCAAATAAATAATCACAAATTATAATTGAGAGTGAACAGACAATACAATAATAGAATTAAAATGCTTATAAGTAAAATGGTGAGACACTAGCAAAACTGCTACAACGCACTACATTTCAGAAGTGTAATAGGCTATAATAATACAAGATTTAATAATGAGATTGAAATGAATATAAATACATACTGCAAAAAATAAAAATATAATAAGATTCACATGTAAACGCATAAATCGCGCAAAAATAACACAAAATACAATAAAAAATTAATTTAAAATGCCAATATCAGATAATTAGCCAAATTTTTATCATAAATACTTTTTGAAATCAAAAAAACAAATAATTTAGCTTTTATAACTTTATGCAATAAAATGAGTATGACAGTTTTAGATAAATCACTTTTAAATTAATAAGTACAGCCAAATAAATTTTTGCACGAGTATTAGTATATGTAGAGGCTTTCTATTATGAGATAGCAGCGTTTCTACTAAACTATAAACGCTATCTATTGATTCCACCATGAATTTATTGCTCTTGGATTGAAAACTATTTAACAGAAAATTCATTATTAGATCGTGCCTGTAGTCATTGTAAAACAAGGTTTTAGAATTTGAATATCTTTAAGTTTCATTGAGATAAACATTTAAATCTTGTTTATTATTTAATAAATAAATACTTGGCAATAAATTCTTCAT